TCTTCTCGTGAAGCTCTTCCAGTTAACTTACCGGTTAATCCGCCGGCGATCGAAGGACCACCTCCGGCAATGGGAGGTGCGGAGCAGGCAGAGACCGGAGGAGTTCCGTTAGTGGATGACGTATTCCCCCTGCCCGGAGGTCCGGTGATAGATTTCACCGCTGATGGAGGGGAGGACCCCGTGGATGAAGCCCCGCTGATGGGGGAGGTTGGTATGGCCCGATTGAGGGAGCAGGGGGTCATTCCTACCCATGCTGATATAGTCCTCGCCCGTAGCGAGGAAAGGATTCACACCGATCACAGAGGGTACTGCATTTTTTATGCGTACCCCTTCAGGCTGGGGTTCAGGATTCCGCTTCCCACCTTGGTGGTGGACTTCTGTCGTTATTACGGGGTGTGTCCGGGCCAGCTCACCCCTTCTCTTTATAAGTTATTGGCGATGTTCCTGAAGTTCGGGGAACTGGCCGGCATGGCAGTTACGTTGCAGCACGTACTCGCCCTTTATGCCCCCCAACGAGTATGGGGTACCATGCTTCGGGCGTGCCCTCGTGGGTCGAGAGGACTGACTGCGGCGCTGGATGATGAGGTCTAGCCCCGCCCCTTCGAGCATTTCTTCTACATTAGAACCGAGCATCTAGTGGCGTCCCCTTCAGGGTTCCCAGAGGCTTGGAACCATGCACGTGAGTTACTTCACTGAGATAAACAATTTCATTCCTTTCTTCCTTTTTTGTTTTGTTTTATGCTAATGCTGCCTCGCTGTCGCTTCTGCAGCCGAGAGGTCGCCACCGACCCTGTTAGCAGGGATGCGTGGGTGGCTCGAAGCCGTGCTCCCTCACACTGAAGGGATTCGCACGTGGACGTCTTTCTGGGAGAGACATGGCCGTAGGCTTGCCGTAGGTGAGAAGTTTATCCCTTACTTTGCTTGGTTCGTGGTTTTAGGGTTCTTTTTACTGACCTTGCTTTTTTTGTTATAGGGAGGGTGAGCCGTGGCAGGGCCCCTCAGCTGGCCTTCCGACGGCCGGGTGCGATTGCTCGTTTTTTTGCAGCGCCAGTGCCACGCCCCGTACCGAGGGTGGCATCCGTCGAGTCTTCTGTGACTCCTTCCCCCCCACGGCCCGTATCTCGGGATGAGGGGCCATCGAGGACTGTTCGCCCTCGGGATGAGTCATCCTCGTACGAAGAGGAGGAGAGGCCCTTGATCAGGCGTAGGGTCGCATTCACTCCGGTTCCTCCCGCGGTAATTACGCCTACTCCCCCTGTGGTGATTAACGTGGATTCCCCTCCTACGGAGGCGGGGGAGGGTACGGCTGCAGCGCCTACCCGTGAGGACGAATCAAGGGTGGATGGTGCCCAGGCTGGCCTAGGCCGTGAAGGCACTGTCGCTTCGGCGGCTCAGTCGTCGACCCCCATGGTTGAGATGGGGGGGCTTCTTCAGTGATCGTTGAAGCCGGCGGACCGAGTGTCCCATCGGCGGATGCGGCGGGAAGAGGAGAAGGAGAAGCTGCGGGAGAAGGATCAGGGTCTGAATCGGATTTGGATCCCGAGGACGTCTGCATGTTCCGAGATGGCTTCACGAATGCGGTTGTCCACTCGGAGGGGAGGTCGCGCCTCATCGAGGTTCCCAAGGATTCGAATTTGCTGTTACTAGGTTCGAGTCTAGTGTCGCAGCTTGAGCAGCTGTGCTCGGCGACAGAGAACGAGTCGCTGAGGGAAGTCACGGACATCGGGTTGATGAATGAGGTGGCCATGATGGGCATGAGGGTACGTATTCATAAAACGGTTTATTCGTTTTTTACCTTGTTTTATTTCCCGCTTTAACCGTAGTCTTTGTTTTGTAGGCCTACTTGCTGGAGGTGGAGAGCATCCGCCGAGCTAATGTTCGCTCGGCGGTATTTTTGCGGGTGTTGGAGAAGTATCGCCGCTACCGGGATAGGTGCAGGGAGATGCGCGTGCGCTTGAGGAACGACCCCCGTAGCCGAGCTCTGGTTGAGGAATTGGCGAGGCGGGAGCTCCAGGCACAACAAACTCTTGGCCGGGTGAGCGCCCTGGAGGAGCAGCTCCGCCGAAAGGATGAGGAGCTTGAGGCCGGTAAGAGGGCCGCAGTTGAGTGCGAGCGCCTATGTCTGGCCAAGGTGACGGAGGCCGCATCGGAGTGGAGTGAGAAGGTGGCTGCACTGGAGGGGGAGATTGCGGCCTTGAAGCGTCAGCTGGGTGACGCCTCGACAAGGGTTGAGAAGTTGCAGGGGGGTTTCCGCGCCGGTGAGTCCCAGTTATCGCTGGTAAGGGCCGCTGCCGCCTTCAGGGAGGCGAGCCTCGAGGAGCGGATAGGTGTCCTTTAGTGGGATGCTCAGGCTGCGACGGGGCAGGTTGCGATTCTAGAGGAGGAGAACCGGCGTCTTCGAGAGCAGTCCGCTTTCTCTGGTCAGGCTCGTGAGTTTTGGGTTTATGCTGAGGCCCAGCGGGACGTATACAAAAATCTGTGGGAGGCCGGTATCGTGACCGAAGCTGCTTTCGAGGGGGCACGTCAAAGGGCTCGGAAGGCCCGTATGGAATGTGGTTTTGATGCAGCGACGCCAGGGGTCGATGATGGCGCAGGTGGGAGTGTGGATGGCGCATGTGGGAGCGCGGACGGCGCAGGTGGGAGCGCGGGCGGCGCTGAATAGAGAGGAGTGTTCTTTTCTTGTTGTTGTTGTTGTTTTTTTTTTGGCCGGCTTTCGTCCGGGTGTAAGCGGGAATGACCAGGGATTGTTTTATGAATAAACAGGAATTTGCCTTCCGTTATTTGCCTTGTGTCTGTTTTGCATTTCCCTCTTTTTTTGGGTTTTTTCGTCGCCTGCGTTTGAGCGGGCCGTTTGCTTTTAATATTCGACTTTGGGAGGTGTGTCATCCTTCGGATGTCGGCGACTTTTCCTTCTCGACTCGGGGTGATCGAGTCGGAGCCGTCTTTTGGAGGTGGTGGCGTGTAGCCTTAGTCCCAGTTCGGGCGCGGTCGGGCTACTGGTCGTGAAGATGAAAACGCGACCTTGTAGATCGACCGAGGCTGAACTTTACGTGCCTCTAATTTTAGTTAGAGTTGGGCGTACTTACTTGGACGGCGAGGGTGCTTGACCCGTGCCTTAGCTTGATTGATTTGTTGCTGAGTTTTAGCGGTGAGGGAGCTCTGTCTGAGTTTTGGTTCAGCCACGGCCATAATTCGTTAAGTTTGAGGGCGAAAGCGTGTGAACTTATCATTCGAGCGAGGTCGAACCCGTTGAATTTTGACGGTGAATGCGCATAGCCTGAATCCTAGTTCAACTGTTGTTGAACTTTATCAGTTTTTAAAGGCGAAGGCGCATAGCCTGAGTCTTGGTTCAATCGTAGTTGAATTTTGTTGGCGAAGGCGCGTAGCCTAAGTATTGGTTCGACCGTAGTTGAATTTATTGGCGAAGGTGCATAGCCTGAGTCTTGATTCAACTATAGTTGAATCTATTGACGAAGGCGCATAGCCTGAGTATTGGTTCAACCGTAGTTGAATTTATTAGCGAAGGCGCGTAGCCTGAATCCCAGTTCAACTGTTGTTGAATTTTATCAATTGTTGGAGGCGAGGGCGCATAGCCCGAGTCTTGGTTCGACCGTAGTTGAATCTATTGGCGAAGGCGCATAGCCTGAGTCCCAGTTCAACTGTTGTTGAACTTTATCAATTGTTGGAGGCGAGGGCGCATAGCCCGAGTCTTGGTTCAACCGTAGTTGAATCTATTGGCGAAGGCGCATAGCCTGAGTCCCAGTTCAACTGTTGTTGAACTTTATCAATTGTTGGAGGCGAATGCGCATAGCCCGAGTCTTGGTTCAACCGTGGTTGAGTTTATTGGCGAAGGCGCATAGCCTGAGTCCCAGTTCAACTGTTGTTGAACTTTATCAATTGTTGGAGGCGAGGGCGCATAGCCCGAGTCTTGGTTCAACCGTGGTTGAATCTATTGGCGAAGGCGCATAGCCTGAGTCCCAGTTCAACTGTTGTTGAACTTTATCAATTGGTGGAGGCGAGGGCGCATAGCCTCTCAGCTATGTGTGGTTTTAAGACTTTGGTTTAAGACTTTGAGCGGTTTATGTGTGGTTTCCTGGTCACGCGGGTTGTTTTGAGGTGGCTCTTGGCTCGAGGTCCGCATCGGGAGTGTGGGGGATGCTTCGTAGGGATCCTCCCAGAAGTGGGGGAAATTTCTTCTTCCCGTTCGCACTATCGGAAATCAGAGAGGGAGAGCAGGCTTGCTCGAGCTGGATCGTTGTTTTTCTTTTCAGTGTCCCCTTTTCTTTTGATTCTAGGAAGAACTACGCGATCTTGCTAGGAAATCCCCACAGACGGCGCCAAATTGTTTGGCTCAAAAGTTACCATGTACTTTATGAATACAAAACAATACATATAGATTATGGGCCAATCATAGCAAGTCGTAATAATTCAAGAACCAAAAGAAAGAAGAATAATTAAGAATATCCCCGATTAGGGTGGGAAAGATTGACAACTTTTATTGATGATAATGGTGTGGTCTGCCTCTCCGTGGAGAGGTTCAGAGCCTTACAATCATGTTGTATTTTTGTGAGATTGTATCTTTCTCATCTGTTGTTCTCTCTCTCTTTTTCTCTCTCTGTTTTGAGAGTCCCCTCCGGGGAAGGAGAGGAACCCCTATGAGGTTTCCTTTCTTGATATTTATAGCTATGAGCTGCATGAGCTGGCCCTTAGTGGCTGGGACCACATTGCAGTTTTATCTTCAGGATAACGGATGGGCCGTAGCCTTATTACTCGTCTTGGGCGGCTGTTAGTTGCCATCAATTATGAGTGGTCGTGCCACTTATTAATTTTGAATTAACCATGAAAGGTGATTAGCGTTGTTGGTTATTATAGGGCCGGATTCTGACCCATACAATAACTTTCCGAGTGAAGTTGAATCCCTTTCTTGGATTCTCAAGATAGCTCAGTTTCTGGACATTAAATTAAAAAACAAAGACAAATATCCACTTGAAAAGAGAAAGAGAGAGAACTCAATGTTAATCAGTCATAGACAAAGCTCAACTTTATTCAATGATACTCAATAAGTAAGAACCTAACTGCTAAGTTAAATCCTCCACATCATTGAATAAATCAATTGCAGCAGAATGTTCTTTGTTTTTTTTTCCTTTTCTCAAAAACTATCGGACAAGACGGACAAAAATGATGAAGAATGAAAACAAGAATAGTTTTGGTTGACAAACAATTCAAGCAACATCTTTTATTTATGTTGCCTGCCATTCTTTCTTGATTTCAAATGTGTAGTTGATCTCCAAATAGCACTTGTTGTCATCATCAAGGAACTGAAACAAGAAAAAGAGGAAAAAATTTAATTAATATGCATAGAACAAAAATGAAGAGGAACAGCAACTGGTACCCTGATATGGAATAAAGTTAGAGATTTAACTTATATACACTAAAATTTTAACTCGTTGGAGCATGTAACCTGCCTTGTTTTCCAGGTTACGAATCCCGACTTTTATGGTAATGTGTAGTTATCATTTAGGTAACATAACAGTGTAAAATATCACGTAAATTGCCAGTGTATAGAAGTTAAACTCTAAAGTTAGAGAACAACATGCAAACAACTGCAGTCTCAGTCAGTCCATAGTATTGAAGCACATAACATTCACCAAATTCATTCAGTGATAAATTTCCTGATTGTCCAGTAACTAAGGTCATGGACAATAACAGAAGATTTTCAGTTCTGGCATCAATGGCGGAGCCACCTTATGCTAAGGGGTGTCAATTGGCACTTAGTGTTGTCAAAGGCACGCTTGAGCCTGAAGCGAGGCTCAAAACATGTTGAGTGCTTCGCCTCGCTTTACGGGCGCATCAGTGTCGCATCAAGGCTCTAAGGCATACTTTTCCTTGCCAATGGATGTAATCCTAAAAAGGCGACACCAAACAATTGATATTTCACTTTATCGTTTTACTTCCTCAATTTTTTGTCCATATATTTGTTATTCATGCTTATAATTATTAGTCTTGGACTAAGTCAAATAGTAGGCACAGAATATGTTGAGAGCATGTAATGCAGAAGATAATCACCTTTGTCCTTGCTGAGTAAGATCCTCTTGCAAACATGCCAGAAGGGGTAGTATCCTCCGGCATTTCATGTGTATAAGGCTCCAACTGAGGACTAAAGGCCCCAATCATTTGCTTCGTGCTGTCCACTGAAATTAGGTTTGTGAAAAAGGGAAGACATTTGATCAGATACATCATAAGTAGATGTCTTTAGCGGCACATTCAACATTCAACGTGAGATAGAGACAGCAAAAGTATAGTACCTTTGATACCAGTTTTCCAAACTGTGTTCGTGTACTTGAGCCCAGTCACTATATTATTGCTGACTTGAAATGAGAATTTTAGGCTGTATTTGCTCCCTTCTTTCAGTGTAAACCATGGGCTGTGGGGTTTCCCGTCCTCGGGGATAGGGAGAACAATATCAGGTCTACCAGGAGACTTAATTTCAAGGCTCAAAATCTTCACGTCTGGATCCAGGGATTCTACAATTTTAAAGCAGTGGACAAAAGGTCAGAATTTTCTGTTGAAATGCATCTTACATGAACATTCATCAAGATTTTAGTAATCTAAAAATGTCATCGAAAAGTTCTCAGGTGTCATAGAAGAAAATGGCATCAAGATTTTTCTTGACTGAAAAGCTCAGGCAATATGCTAAGGAACATATCAAGTAGTCATATATCACTCTTGGGCACAGAATATTATCAAATATGGATGTGACAAATATGAATCCACACAGTTTGTTCTTTAATATGACATTCCAAAATACAATCAATTAATCAACTATGCCCCAATGCCATATCTTTTTGGTTCAGCTGTACAGATTCATCTGTATTCGTTTCGCTCCATTCAGATCAATTGAATGAATTATATTTGCCTTATGCGCGATAAATGCAGGGAAAAGAAGAGGGCCATTACTAGAAGCTACCGTCCCATGAATCACATAAATATAACTTCAATCTATTTTCTGGACTTATGCAAACCCCATATTATACAATATGTTAAATTGTCATTTTATCATAGACAAGAAAAGCAAAAGAATCTCAAATTTCACAGGCTAGTTCAAGATAGAGTATTAAAAATGTTAGTGACAAACGAAGAAGAAATCTATATATATGTGGATTACTGTTTTTGTTATATAGAGGAAATTCCACAAAGTTCATATGCACCAAATCTTGAAACAAAAAGCATGTTTACTAATTACCTCCAACAGAATTGATATCCACACTTCCAAGAAGCTGCTCCTTCCACCTTCTCAAACTCTCATCATCCTAAAATGCCAAAAATTGCACAAACATAACCACACATTAACAAAAAAAAAAGAAAAAAGAGAGAGGCTTTTTTCATTTTTGGCCCATCGACCGAAATCAATTACAGGCGCTAACCAACATATACAAAACATATACATTGATTATGTATATAATATGTGTATTATATGTATATTTATTATATTATATTATATGTATATTTATACTTAATATACAAAACATACACATTTGCCGGCTATTAGTTGGAGGGCGGCCCAATAAGGTAATTCCAAAAAGAATTTAGGAAAGACAAAAAGATGTAATCTTTACAACAACAAACCCAGTAATCCCGCTAGTTGGGTCTGAGGAGGGTAAAGTGTACGCAGACCTTAATCCTACCTTAAGAAGGTAGAGAGGCTGTTTCCGAAAGACCCTCAGCTCATGAAGAAAGATGCAATCTTTAGATGGGAATTAATTACAGGCGCTAACCAACATATACAAAACATATACACTGAATATGTATATCGTATGTGTATTATATGTATATTTATAACATACAAAATATATTTGTTTGTCGGCTATTATTTGGAGGACGGCCAATAAGGTAATTAAAGGGGCAGCACCATGCACAAAACATCACGCATTCACGTAAGGTCCAGCGAAAGCCGCACCTAAGAGGTATGATATAGACAACCTACCCTAATACAAGCATTAGTGGTTCTTCTATACTTTATCCCAAATTTTTTTTAGTAAAGACAGAAAGATGCAATCTTTAGATGGGAAAAAATGGAAAAAGGCAGAAAAAAGCACCTTATCCTTTTCAAATTGTTCTTTGAGAGTGCATTGTGGACCCAACTCAATCTTATTATTAGTTTCATCTTCTTCCTCATCCTCAGTAGTGTAAAGGGAACTCTCACTCATTTGTCTGCTTACATTTTTCTCACCAACAGGCTCATGTTCAATCTCAGAATCAGAATCAGCAATTGGAGTTTTTGTTCCCCCTTTAGTACCCTCCTTATCAGAATCCATGTTGCGACTTTTGATTACAATTCTTGACAAAGAAAAGAGAAAAATGGGCTACTACTAGTCTTGTTCAAATGATGAGAATATAATATCAAGAAAAGAACAGAACTAGAAAAGCCACATGAATAAGAGACTCCAAAAAAAGAATCTCTTCTTTTATTTGAAAAAACAAGAAAATGGGGTCATTAAAAAAATGGTTTAGGATGAGTGAAAATGAACAACAAAAAAGAATCCCAAGAAAACAAATACCAAGAAAAAGGGATAATAGTGTTAAGAAGAAAAAGCCAACAAGAAAATAAGAGAGAAATATGGAGAAAGAATTGGGAGGTTTGTTTTAGAAAGCTGAGGTGTAGAAAAAGGAAATTGTAATGTGGTGATCCGAAAATTGTGAAAATGAAAATGAGTAATAATATAATAAGGGAGAGAAAGAAGGAGAAGAGAATGGTGGTGAGTACGTGAAGGTCACAAGGGTGTAGGATTTGGTGGATGATACAATACAACCCTCTTTGACTTCTTCATATTTAACAATCTTTCTATTATAAGGTTAAGGTTAGAGATGAATTAAAGAATTTAAGTTATAGAATATTTAATTTGAAAAAGGTTATAGAAAATTCTAAGTTAATATATACTAGTAGTATTATTTCCTTAATATTTAGAAATTACTCAATTATATAAAGTAAGTGTGTTAAATGAGCGGTTAAGACCGGTTACAACACACAAAAAGGGATTGTTACTGGAGGTGAAATTTCAATTTATGAATTTCGATATTAATTGAATCTCTCGCCCGAGGTATTATTTCGTATTGTTTTGTATATGTGACGACCCGGCCAGTCGTCTCATGAGTTACCGCTCCATTTTCCTCATTTCTGCTTCTTATTGCTTTGTTCATCTGTGTTTTGAGGTATCAGGTTGGTTGGATTGAATCCGGATTGGTTTTGGTGAAGTTTGAGACACTTAGTCTCTTTTAAGAAGGCTTAAGTTGGAAAAGTCAACCGGATGTTGACTTGTGTGTTAGAGAGCTCGGATGTGAGTTTCGATGGTTCGATTAGCTTCTGGAGGTGATTTGTGACTTAGGAGCGTGATCGGAATGAGTTTTGGAGGTCCGGAGTAGAACTAGGCTTGAATTGACGAAGTTGATATTTTGGCGATTTCCGGTTGATAGGTGAAATTTTGATCCAAGGGTCGGAATGGAATTTCGAGAGTTGCAGTAGTTTCGTTATGTCATTTGGGATGTGTGTGTAAAATTTCAGGTCATGTGGATGTGGTTTGGTTGGGTTTTTGATCGAAAGCGTATTTCGGAAGATTTTAGAAACTTAGGCTTGAAATCGATGTGATTTTGGTAGATTTGATGTTGTTTGAGGTGTCTTAATGATTAGAACAAGTTTGAATAAGGTATTGGGTTATGTTTGTGCCTTTGGTTGAGGTCCCGAGGGCCTCGGGTGAGTTTCGGGTGGTCATCGGATCATTTTGGAGTTTGGAAAAATGCAGAAAATGGTTTCAGCTGTTGCACACATTTTGGTCTTCGTGTTCGCGAGAGGACCCTCGCGTTCGTGAAGAGTAAGCTGAGGAAGGTGGGAGTTTAGCCTACGCGTTCGCGAGGCATGGGGAGCGTTCGCGAAGGGCTGCGAGGTTGTGCATCGCGTTCGCGGGAGTGTAGTCACGATCGCATAGAAGAAATGGAGGGATTGAGCTTCATTAGGATTTAACCCATCGCGTTCACGATGGTTGGACCGCGTTCGCGAAGGGTCATCTGGTAAGTCATCGCGTCCGCATGAGTTGTGTCGCGTTCGCGTAAGAGGATTTTTGGTCAACGTTATTTTTGTGCTTCGCGAACGCGAGAGTTTGACCGCGTTCGCGAAGAAGGAAAGTCAGACCTGGGCAGAATGTTTTTAAGTCGTCTTGTCCGCGATTTTGGGGCTTGTTTCACCCATAGCTGCTCGTTTTTGGAGATTTTTGAAGGAGATTGAAGAGGGATTCAAGGGGAAGCGACTTGAGGTAAGATTTTTGGACTTAAAACTCGATTATTATGTGAATTTCACCTAGAAAATCATGAAAACTAAGGCAAAAATTGAATAACTAGGGTTTGAGAAATTGGACTTTTGATTTGGGATTTGAAGGACCATTTGGGGTCGGATTTGAGCACTTTTGATATGTATGAACTCGTGAGGAGATAAGGAATCTATTGATGTAAAAATTTCTGAGTTTCGAGAAGTGGGCCCGGGGCTCGAATTTTGCTAATTTCGGGATTTTTGGTATTTTTCGATTGTTTTCGCTTGGGCTTTGTTCCCTTAGCATATTGTGATGTATTCGTTCTGATTTTGGATAGATTCGATGCGCGTGGAGGCCGGTTCGAGGGGCAAAGGCGTCGCGAGCTAGAGATGTAGCCGGTTCGAGGTGAGTAATGGTTGTAAATGATGTTCTGAGGGTTTGAAACCCCGGATTGCACATCGTAGTGCTATATTGAGGTGAGGCACACACTTAATGACGAGCGTGGGGTCGTGCCCTATTGGGGATTGTGACTTGGTCCGTCCCGATTGATGATTTTACTGCGTACTTGATTTAAATCTATTTGCTATCATCATTATTTGGGCTGAATGCCATACTTGGGCTCCGTGCCAATTATTTAAACCCTTCGGGGATTGTTGTTGATGTTTCCTCACTGTTTTGACTTTATACTTGAACTCAGTCATGTTATTTCCTACTGTTTTCAAAGCTCAGCTATGTTTACTCTGTTTTAATACTCAAATGATATTTAAATGATGTTTTGGGCTGAGAAATACTGTTTTACTGTTGCCCGAGAGGCTTACGTGATTTTTGACTGAGTAAGGCCGAGGGCCTGTGTCGTGAGGATATGAGATAGGGTGACGTGGGATCACCCCCGGGTATATGCATAGTAAGGTTATTCAGCGATTGGTTGGCTTTTGGAACAACTCTGGGCACGTTTGAGGACGAACGTTTGTTTAAGTTGGGGAGGATGTGACGACCCAACCAGTCGTCTCATGAGTTACCGCTCCGTTTCCCCCATTTCTGCTTCTTATTGCTTTGTTCATCTGTGTTTTGAGGTATCGGGTTGGTTGGATTGAATCCGGATTGGTTTTGGTGAAGTTTGAGACACTTAGTCTCTTTTAAGAAGGCTTAAGTTGGAAAAGTCAACCGGATGTTAACTTGTGTGTTAGAGAGCTCGGATGTGAGTTCTGATGGTTCGATTAGCTTCAGGAGGTGACTTGTGACTTAGGAGCGTGATCGGAATGGGTTTTGGAGGTCCGGAGTAGAATTGGGCTTGAATTGGCGAAGTTGATATTTTGGCGATTTTCGGTTGATAGGTGAGATTTTGATCCAAGGGTCGGAATGGAATTCCGAGAGTTGCAGTAGTTTCGTTATGTCATTTGGGATATGTGTGTAAAATTTTAGGTCATTTGGATGTGGTTTGGTTGGGTTTTTGATCGAAACCGTATTTCGGAAGATTTTAGAAACTTAGGCTTGAAATCGATGTGATTTTGGTAGATTTGATGTTGTTTGAGGTTTCTTGATGATTAGAACAAGTTTGAATAAGGTATTGGGTTATGTTTGTGCCTTTGGTTGAGGTCCCGAGGGCCTAGGGTGAGTTTCGGGTGGTCATCGGATCATTTTGGAGTTTGGAAAATTGCAGAAAATGGTTTCAGCTGTTGCAGATATTTTGGTCTTCGCGTTCGCGAGAGGACCCTCACGTTCGCGAAGAGTAAGCTGAGGAAGGTGGGAGTTTAGCCTACGTGTTCGCGAGACATGGGGCGCGTTCGCGAAGGGCTGCGAGGTTGTGCATCGCGTTCGCGGGAGTGTAGTCGCGATCGCATAGAAGAAATGGAGGGATTGAGCTTCAGTAGGATTTAACCCAACGCGTTCGCGATGGTTGGACCGCGTTCGCGAAGGGTCATCTGGTAAGGCATCGCGTTCGCATGAGTTGTGTCGCATTCGCGTAAGAGTATTTTTGGTCAACATTATTTTTGTGCTTCGCGAACGCGAGAGTTTGACCGCGTTCGCGAAGAAGGAAAGTCAGACCTGGGCAGAATGTTTTTAAGTCGTCTTGTCCTCGATTTTGGGGCTTATTTCACCCATAGCTGCTCGTTTTTGGAGATTTTTGAAGGAGATTGAAGAGGGATTCAAGGAGAAGCGACTTGAGGTAAGATTTTTGGACTTAAAACTCGATTATTATGTGAATTTCACCTAGAAAATCATGAAAACTAAGCCAAAAATTGAAGAACTAGGGCTTGAGAAATTGGACTTTTGATTTGGGATTTGAAGGACCATTTGGGGTCGGATTTGAGCACTTTTGATATGTATGAACTCGTGAGGAGATAAGGAATCTATTGATGTAAAAATTTCTGAGTTTCGAGAAGTGGGCCCGGGGCTCGGGTTTTGCTAATTTCGGGATTTTTGGTATTTTTCGATTGTTTTCGCTTGGGCTTTGTTCCCTTAGCATATTGTGACGTATTCGTTCTAATTTTGGATAGATTCGACGCGCGTGGAGGCCGATTCGAGGGGCAAAGGCGTCGCGAGCTAGAGATGTAGCCGGTTCGAGGTGAGTAATGGTTGTAAATGATGTTCTGAGGGTTTGAAACCCCGGATTGCACATCGTAGTGCTATATTGAGGTGAGGCACACGCTTAATGACGAGCGTGGGGTCGTGCCCTATTGGGGATTGTGACTTGGTCCGTCCCGATTGATAATTTTACCGCGTACATGATTTAAATCTATTTGCTATCATCATTATTTGGGCTGAATGCCATATTTGGGCTCCGTGCCAATTATTTGAACCCTTCGGGGATTGTTGTTGATGTTTCCTCACCGTTTTGACTTTATACTTGAACTCAATCATGTTATTTCCCACTGTTTTCAAAACTCAGCCATGTTTACTCTGTTTTAATACTCAAATGATATTTAAATGATGTTTTGGGCTGAGAAATAGTGTTTTACTGTTGCCCGAGAGGCTTACGTGATTTTTGACTGAGTAAGGCCGAGGGCCTGTGTTGTGAGGATATCTTTGGGATCGGGCTGCACGCCGCAGCAGTGACACATATCTTTGGGATTGGGCTGTACGCCGCAGCGGTGATACATATCTTTGGGATCGGGCTGCACACCGCAGCGGTGATACACTGATTTGATATGAGGTCGAAGACCTGTTTATGATGCCACGAGATGGCTTGATATTGCGCTTGGGCCGTAAGGGGCCCCTCCAGGAGTCTGCACACCCCCGGTGAGCGCGAGTACCCAGTGTGATA